AGGGAGGGAGGGAGGGAGGGAGGGAGGAAGAAACTGAGGAACTGAGCACAGCTCTGAGACTCAGGGCCAGGGACTTAGGAAATGGTGGTGTGTGGTGCAGACGTGGAGCCCAGCTCTCTGGGTTAGGCACCCTCGTTTCTAGGGGAAGAAAGTGAGATCTACTAAAAAGGCCAACTTTCTCCAGGTTTCAAAAACAGCTGTGTCAAGCAGAACATAGCTAGTGTGTTTCCACAGGATGTTCTCATTGTAACAACACGTGACTGAGCAGCTAGAAACGGCCTGCTGTTCTGGTATCAGAACGGGAATAGGCATGAAGCTGAGGAGAAAGGAAGGAGGAGGGAAAGAGGAGGGCGAGAAGGAAGGAGGAGAGCAAGCAACACTCATAAAAAGTTGTTCTACCTGATAAACTTGATAACTTCTAGGAATGTATCAAATCAAACAGATACATATGAAATATTATCTGCAGAGATGTTCTCTGTAGATTTGCCCATAAGGGGAAAGCTAGACGCCACTTCTGTATCCAAAAATAATGAGAGCACCATTCTGTGTTGGAGAATAAAGCGACTGCCATATGTCCTGTACTGAAAGCATAGCTAATACCTAGGAAATACCTGTAACTGGCTAAATAAAAAATTAATAGAAATAACGACAAATAGCTTGTATCAACCAGTATAACAAGAATGCAAATAAAACAGAATAAAAGGAGCAAAAAGACACCACCATATTTTAAACACCAAAACATTGTGGAGTCGTCTCTGAGGATGAAATCACAAATGGATTCCAGAACAATTTTACACATTTTCCCTAATGCTTGTTAATGGTCATGACTTATGTTTTCAATAGAAGAAATATGCTTTACATAAATATTTTACAACATAGAATTTTTTTAAAGAACGTAACCTTTTATTTGCTTATTTATTTGATTTCCAGAAATGTCCATCCTGTGATTCTTATGAGAAAAAAGCACCCAAAGAATTCCTAGAAAGACTAAAATGGCTCCTTCAAAAGGTATGTGCCTTAAATGTGTTTATTTATCTCCTCCATTGTCTCTTGTGCCTGGTGACTCACGGACCATTGTTTCCACAGATGATTCATCAGCATCTTTCCTAGAACACACAGGACCTGAAGATTCCCAAGGACCCGAGGAGACACTGCACACTATGGAAACTCACAAACGGGAGTGCCTCTTGCTTCCTGGGATTGTGAATGGAGAAGTACAGTATGTTCCTATAGGAATGACTCAAACACTGCAGGCTAAGATCCATTGCCAAATTACTACACAGACATTGCAGTTCACTGACAGACTCCGGGCTGTCAACTCGGAAAATCTCTCCTCAGAGAGCTCAGCTTCCTGTGTCATGGATTTCTGTGACTTCTCAAGTTATGACGTCTTCATCTTGTTGCCCAACTGTGACATGCTTTGACTGGAAGGGGGAAACTAAAGATTTTAACTAAAAATACAGCTAGAGAAACTGTTGGTCTGCAAGAATAAGACCTTTGTGATCCTAACTGAATGATGTAAGCTGAAAATACAGAAGAGTAAGATGAAATCGGAAATTGAAGTCTTTATTCTCTAAGGAAAATTGTACTTGAAAGCATGTCTGAAGGACTTGCTCCTTCCAATTGAACATCCAGCATACAGATATCTAATCTATTTATGCTACAGGGGAGAGTTTTCCTAGATGTGTACAAGCAAATTTTCTTCTTTATTAGGTCTATCAAGATATTTAAATACAGTAGAATTTAACCTATTTATAGACTTCATTCCTGGTCTTCACTGTCTTTCTAAAGTGGTAATGGCATATTAAGAAGCAGGGTTAACTTCTCCCAATGTCAAGTCTTTTTATAAGCTAATATTTTAAACTTGTGAAGATGGCAACTAAAACCTATGGTAGGGCAAACATCAGCAGAGTCTTCTGGAGCAAATAGAGTTTTAAGGTTTTGTAGCTCTCGTCTCAAAGAGTATGGGTGTGTTGGATCTTCTAATCCAGTCATTAGTGTCCTTTCCTGTGTCCATTCTTTCCTTTCCTCTTTGTACAATGAGACTTCTGAGATAAAGACATTTCAAACATTGAGCATTTAAGACACATTTCGTGCACACTTTTGACAAGTTAAATTTAACCATCTATTTAAGATCAAAATCAGGAGATTAACCAAGAGACCAGAGGTTCTGTCCTGGTTTTAAACAGACATTTACTTAACATTCCAATCTTTTAACCATAGATGGTAAAATAAACAAAGTGTTCTGCATTTGATATAAATTCCAACAGTCTGTTTCAATGTGAGGTGAAAGTCTAGAAAGCTATTTTGCCTGGAATAGCATAATCTCTTCGAGAGTCTCTTCTTGTTAAAATGGATCTGAGAGCCCAAGAACATGTACCGGACTGGGTGTAGGGGCTTTGCTCCGAGGCAGAAATGTCTGTACTGAAAAGTGCTTTTAAAACAAACACAGACTTAGTGTACAGCTCTAACATATAGCTGATTATTTGATTAATTCCCAGCAAAGTGTCATAACCAGAAACAATGTACTCTCTCAAAAGTTTAAAATATATTATTGTAAAGAAATTATGTAAATGTGCAAGTCTTGATGATATTCTATACACATTAGCCCACTGAGTGTTGAATGGTGCTAGCGCAGGTTGTTGGGTTTGAGGGTCAAAGTTGAAGCAAAGACACAATCCTTCAGAAAGAAATGATGGAGAGAGATGGTGTCTACAAGTTTTATTTAGTTGTTTGTTTTCTGGCTTTATAATTGTTGACTTCTTGACACTGTGGTTTTATATTTAAGACAATGTATTTATTTTGGTGTGTTTATTGTTTAAAAATCTGTTCTAGCCTTTTAGATCATTGAGCATGTCTACTCTAGAAGTAAAAATAATTCAGTGGTGCCCAGGCTAAGAGCTTGAATAGTTTGGAAACTCCAGTAAAGGGTCCACCACTAGCCAAGAAAAAGTGATACTTTGAATAAACTAGACGAAGTAGGTCTTGCATAGTGGTACCTCCACTTCTCTGCATCTAAGACTTAGTCCTTGAGAGGGATGTAAGGAAAAACTGTGGACACCATTGTTCACCTGCCGGTGACAAGAAGACAGACCTGACATGCTGTTGGCCATGAAATGTGGCCACTTGCTTAAGCCCTTTTGGTTTTCATTTCCTTGTTTGTACAATGGGGTGCTGGGCTTTCCTACATCTATTCTGTATTTTTGTTTTTTGAGCTTTGTATGTCTGAGTTTCAATGACCTGGGTACTCTTATAGGAACACCTGACCACACTTCTTAGTTAAATGTCATCCAAGTGCGATATTCAGTTGCTCAATAAGGAAGGAAGGAAGGAAGGAAGGAAGGAAGGAAGGAAGGAAGGAAGGAAGGAAGGAAGGAAGGGTAGGTCATGAGAGTTCAGATAAAATTAGTTATGACCGTTAATATTTTAGCTGAAAGTGTCTTCTTTGTACTTGTGAATAAACTCATAGCATTATTAATCTACATTATTGCTCTGTTTTATTTACAGTTACACCTGAGAATTTACTTTTAATATGAATGATGTACTTTATAACTTAATGATTATTTATTATGTATTTGGTTTTGAATGTTTATGTTCATGGCTTCTTATTTAAGACTTGATCATATTAAATACTACCCAGTCAGTACAACTGTCTGTTGTGATTCTCTGAAAATCCTTAATCCAACCATCCCGGCAGAAAAGGTGAGCATGCAGTTTTTATATGGCTGTGATAAAGATGATGTTTTCTTCTTATCCACTGCCACCAAAATAAAACTGTCCCCAGTTCTAGCTCAAAGGTCCCATTTCCTTTGCAGACTCCCTCTGAATGCCCAGCAGGTTTGGAAGGGGTTGAGAATTGCCTGCCTCTGCCATCACACCTGTGCTCCATGCAGATAACACTCCTGGGTTCATGTTGGTCCCACTGGCTTTCTGTCCCTTGTTCTCAGTGTCCCTTGTCTGTGGGTCACTATGCTGCGGTCACCAAGGACTTAGCTATGTTCCTTGCTAAGGTGACCTCGGTGAGGAGGGCTCTCATTGGGAAACTCCCCAGAACCCTGAATGTCTGTCTGAGTGCTTGTGCTTTTCAAGTGGCTTGTGACCCACTGTCACTCTCGGCGGCGACCCTGAATCCTTCTCCCCTGGAACTATTGCACGTGTAAAGCACCACCTGCTAGTCAAGCAGCTTGAGAAACGTCCTGTTCCCTCTGCTCCTATACCCAAAGCCAGGCCTCCTCTCTTCCCCCGTCTCTCAGCACTTTTCCTCATTCCTGCAGCCCTGGCTGCTGCTGAGTCCGGAGCTCCAGGCCCGACAGCACATGGTCTCTCCTCCATTCCTGTATCCCTGGCTGCTGCTGAGTCCGGAGCTCCAGGCCTGGAAGCACATGGTCCCTCCTCCTGCTTGAGAACCTGCCCACGAAGTCGCCACCTATCTGTCTCATCCTTGCTGTTCTGCTTCAGATTCAAACACTGACTCATTTTCAACATCCCCCATAGCTATTGGAGCCACATTCTCTCTCCAGCTTCACCAGCATCAGCTCTTGCCTTGAGGCCACCCAGAACTCTCACTTGGATGGTTGTAGAGCCTTCCTAAGCAATTTCTCTGCTTCTGTCCTTTCCCTTCACTAAAATCTATGTGTAACAAAGCGACTCATACAGCCCCTTTAAAACCCAATCTCAGGGGCCCAGGAGATGCCTCAGTGGGTACAGGCACTTGCTGCCAAGCTGGTGACCTGAGTTTGACTCCTGGGACCCACACATGGTAGAAGGAGAGAAATGACTCCTGAAAGTTGTCTTCTGACCCTCCACATGTACACTGCGGTGCACAGGCATATAGAAAAAAAAATCACAATCCGTCACTCCTCAACTCAAAGATCCCGATGGTTCCCATGCCGCCTAGGGCTACTTGGTTGCCCTGCATCTTTACACCCCATTTTACTTCCCAATGGACTCCAGGCACACTGCTATTCTTTCTCCAACATCCCAGGGGAACTTCATCTAAGGTATTTGCACTTTAAAAATTTGGGGTTTTCTTTCTGGCGACAGGGCCTTACTCTGTAGCCCAGGATGGCCAGGTACTCAGTACGCAGCTCATGCTGTCTTCAAACTCATGGCAATCTTCCAGACTCAGCCTCTCAAGTGTTGGGATTACAAATTTTTTTTTCTAAAGAAAAGTTTTGGATTTATAATGTGCAGAGTTCTTTTATGTTAGATAAAGCAATTTAATGTTTTCTAATCATTTGATCAAAACTGCTTGACATATCAGAAAAATGACTCTATTTGGGTCTTAAAATTTTCATAAATCAGAGAGAGAGAGAGAGAGAGAGAGATAGAGAGAGAGAGAGAGAGAGAGAGAGAGAGAGAGAGAGAGAGAGAGAGAGCGCATCTATATATCTGTCTGTCTATCTGTCTGGTTCCTCTGAAGAACTAGGAAGCAGCAATTCTTGAGGGAAGGGAGTGTGAGTACAGAGCTGACTAGCCAGTGCACAGTCACAGCTGGTGAAGCCGCAGATCGCCCTGACTCTGCACGGATCCTGAGGGGTGTCTACTCCCCTGACAGCCAGTCATGCCTGCTGAATTTCAGGTGTGGTGAGAGCACTCCAGTGTCAGAGAATAGTCTTCTGAATTCCCTAAGTCTGAGATGTCAGCACACAGAACTGACATCAGCTTTCACTGCTAAGGCCACAGTGATTTTTTTTTCTCAGTTTATTTTTCAAATAAACTTTAAAATAGACTTTTCAAATAAGCATAAGAGTAGGGAAGAGATTGATTTTATAATCATCATGGGAGGCCTTTCAGTAATGGAAGGGTATGTCTGGCCTCTGGAACGATGTGTAATTTGTGTATCTATTATGTTTTATCTAGATAATGCCCTTCTTCGTCACAATTTGATTCTCTTTAAGCTTACTTAACCTAAAGGAGCCCAACTTCTAGAGATATATTTGCACCCTAAAGAGAGAATTCTCAGTAATAGAATCTGACACTACTAACGTGCACCCCAAGTCCTTCACACCCAGGGGTCCTCCCTCCTCCTTTCTAACCCACCCTGCCGGCCACAGACACAACTCCCAGGCTGCATACAGATTGGCCCCCACACAAGCGCTCATGTTCTT